TCTGAAGGCACCATCATCTCCAGTCGCCAATATCACTCAGTTCTTCTCCGTGCCAGTTGAAGGTAAACAACTTATTAGCATCTTGTTGCGGTTTTGCCTCGTTTTCGATATGATGTTTGATATTCTGTTCATTGAGTTTACATACTGCAAATTATGAGTTGTCAGGCTTAAAATTCTCTGGTGTACTATGTTGAGAACCATGTTCAAGTGTTAGTAGGTTTGTGAAAAAAAAAAGCATATTTTGTGTGGTAAATGCCTTGCTTGCTTGATTTTATTAATTGGTGAGCCTCCTATACTTTATATTTCCATGCTGATTTTATGAGTTATGATTCAACCACAAAATTTACTTCTTCAACAGTCTGATTGTGGTTAAAGTTCAATATAAAACATAAAGGTTCACTTGATAAAGCTGGTTGAGTGTGTGTTAATGTGGGTTAATGTGGTTTATATAGCCAGTAAATTTTATTCTTAAGCATTCTGATTGTGGTTAATGTTGTGTTGGTTCTGTTTCATTTTGTTGCGAAGTAGCTGAAACTTGTTGAGTGTGGTAAGATTCTGCATAATTTTCAGAGTTTAGAAGCATGCTTTAAGTTGTAAGTTTTAAATAGAGTTGAAGAGATATGTGTAGAATATTTTTTCTAGTGGTTTATCTTAACTTGCATAGTCTTTTTTTGTGTTTAGACACCCAACTATTTGTTTGTTAAGCATGCTGATTGTGGTTAAAGATGCACAGAAAAGAGACAGGTATGTTGTGTGGTTTCAATTAGAAACATAATGTCATAGATTACCTTCTAAAAATGATTGGTTGATTATCTTTATTTAAATAAGTGTACATAAACAACAGAGCCTTGTGTCAAGAAAAATTGGATTTCTTTTTTTTTTTTTTTTTTATTTTATGCTGATTGGTGACATTGATGTATCTGCACACATTACAGTGTTCTGTTAACTTGTTTTGTGGTTAATTATGCCTTGTTTTGTGGACTGTTAAACTCATTGCTATGTTTTTCTGCTGAATTGTGTGGTTTGATGTTGAGAATGTGCTCAGAGGTTAGATTTTGGAACCCTAAATTACTTGTGAAAAATGTTGAGTTTATTATTGTTGAAGGTAAAACAGAAAAAGGAAGATTTTGTGTGGTTTTGGTTTGATTTTGTTGTGAACTTGCTGAAGCTGGTTGAGTGTGGTAAGGTGCTGAAGTTTGAATGCTGGTTTTAGTTTGAGTTAGGTTAGTTGTTATAATCCATGTGAACATGCTGAAGTTTGAATGCTGCCATTGTGCTTCAGTGACTTGTTAACTTTTTGAAAACTCCATTTTAGTGGTCTGTTTACTTGATTTGTGGTTAATTATGTTTTCTGTTAAACTCATTGCTATTTTTTCCTGACGAATTGTGTGGTTTGATGTGAAAATGTTGAGAATGTGAGAAGTTGTAAGTTTTAAATAGAGTTGAAGAGCAAAGTGTAGCATGTTCTAGTCAGTGGTTGTTAGACTTTACTGTGGGTTGTTAATTTGTAGTATGCATATAATTCAACTCTTCTTTTGTGGTTTGTTATGCCTTCTTTTGTTTTCTGTTAACTTAATGATATGTTTTTTCTGCCGCATTCTGTTCTTTGATGTTGAGAATGTGGTGAGAATTTACATTTATGGAGCCTAAATTACTTGTGAACATGCTGAGTGTGGTTAAATTCAAGGTAAAACAGATGGGAATGCTGTGTGAGTGCGATTTCATTTTGTTGTGAACATGCTGAAGCTTGTTTAGTGTGACAGCTCTTGATATCTGTTTGGCTGAGATTATGTAAATGGACCTGATAAAGCCTTTTCATGTAATAAACTTACTTTCAAAATCAGAGATATAGCTGAAACCAAAGATCTTATCTTCAGTATGTATCTTAGAATTATGCACCTGAATATGTATCTTAGATTTATGTGGCATTGAATATGTGTATTTAGTTGTCCAATACAGATTTGGCATATGACTTTAGTTGTCCAAAACTGAGCTGTCTAAAATTCTTGTTGGTATAAGATACATGGTACCTGAATCTATTAATTGCTTTATTTATGGTCAAAAAATTGAGCTGTCCAAAATGCTTTGTTTATGTCCAAAACTGAGCCATGTTCTGTGTAGTTATACCTTATGTGCTTCCTTATGGTTCTCTTCTATGATGCTATATGAAGCAGCTTATGTCTTTATTTTTAATATCCTGTTGTTATGGTGATTATTGTACTAATCATGGTAGCTGAATCTATTGATTAGATGAAGTTGAAACAATATTATGATTTTATTCTTCATTCTTGCATAAGTGTATACAACATTTACTTTGTTCAGTACATTGTTGTACTGATTTCAACCTTTCTTGTTCAATCTGTTTCATCCATTGGTGCTTTATGGGGATTCATGCATTGTTATGTGCTCTGTTTCAGCCTTTCTCTGTTTGTTGTAAGATGTTATGATTTCAGTTATGGATTCAATTATCTGCTCTCTGTTTCTAGGTCTCTGTTATGTGGTACAATTTTGATGACTCATTTGTGTTAAGTTGATATGATTTCAGTTGGG